TTGCCGAGTGCCTGGACTGGGACACACGACAAAGGAGGAAGTGTTTGCCGAGTGCCTGGACTGGAACACACGGCAAAGAAGCAAAGTTTGTTGAGTGCCTAGAATTTAACACTCGATAAATTAGGAATGTTTGCCGAGTGCCCGAGATTTAACATTAGGCAAACGGGCCGTGACCGTCTCCGCTCCATCACGTTACTTTTTTTCGCCAGAGCGTCGGTTTTAGCTTTCGGCAAAGTCTTTGCCGAGTGCCCGATAGAAAACACTCGACAAAGAACCGTTTGTCGGCACTGTAGATGTCGTGTGCTGTTTACCGAGTGTTACACTCGATAAACCATTTGTCGAGTGTTTTTTTGGCTTTGCCAAGTGACTATGACACTCGGCAAAGCCACTGCTTTCGGTAGCGTGGATCTCGCTGCCGTTTACCAGAATTTGTCAAAGCGTCGACTCATCCTGTGGCTCGAACTCCAACCGCTCCAGTGGACACCAAAACTTCAACCCCCCAATCTGAACATTCCATGCATCATCAGAGAAGTATGCAAAGTCAACCAGACGTACGGCCGAAGTTACTGTACGCTGGATCCTTCTTCCGTTTCGACTTTCGTCCCCTCCTCTCCTTGGACGATCTCCATCCGTCTCTCCTCCCCATCCTGGCATCTTCCAAATTGACGACCATCTCGATCGGTATTATTGATGCATGGCAAGTTTTTCCTCGTCGACGGCCAATACAATCGCTCGGGCGATGGCATGTGAAAGGGATCCGCATCTGCCTGCCTGCTGCACTCGATAGATGACACGTACACTGGATCGATCGGAACTGGAATTCTTCCTCCTCCCGGGCTGATTCGGAAGGCTGGCTTCGGTCAGTGCGTGACGCTCGATCTGTGACTGTGAGTGCACACGCCTCTCGAGGTCGCTGTCGCCGGCCCCGGAAGAGGGGTCTAGAAGTAGAGAGCGAATGCACTGCCGATTCTTCCTCGAGAAAAAAATACACACATCGACGACGGCGACGGCGGCGATGGCGACAGCCGCGTGCGTGCGACTGTCCGTCCGGCCGGTCGGTGAGCGAGGTTGCAAGATGCCGGACACGCCCTCTCGGGGGAACCGCGCGCGGGCCACTACACACTACTCCATCGACTTCGATTCGATCCCGCGGACACGCAACGCGTGTGGAAACACAAACAGAAATCCGTGTCCGCGAGAGCTCTGGATCACATCACAGGTACGTACGACGTGCAAAGTAACCCGTGAGACAGACCACCCCGGTGGCCGGCCAGGTCAGGCATTCAGACGGGTAGGAGCCGGATCGCCGGATCGGAGGTCAGCCAGCAATTAATTCACGGACAACAAGTTCGGAAGTCTCCTGTTCATGGGAGACGACGACGGCCAGCCCAGACAACCGAGTTGTTGTTGTTGTTGCCGCTGCTAGGATCGATTCAGTGTTTCGTTCGCCACAGCAGGATTGACGCGGAGAAAGAAGCTGGCCGGCCGACGCGAGCGCGGTGGAGCAGCGTGATCCACATGCTCGCGCGCCACAGTCTGGCAGCTGTGAGACGAGCTGACACGGCGGCGTACGCCTGGCTGAATGCTCGTCGCTGATGGTTTTCCTCCTCCCGGCTCCGCTTGTCAAAGAGGCGGTGCTTGCTTGTGTCACACAGAACCACAGATTTCCCGTGGCCGCTCCGGCGAATTCGTCGAACCGCAGCGATGGACCGTTTTGCAGTCGGGATCACGGTGGCCTCGCCGGCGCCGCCAACACGACGACTCTGATAGCGATCCGCCTGCTGCCAGGGATCCAATCTGCTCCCATTTTTTTTATTTATAAAATTTGATTGATCTGATGTGAACAGAGATATTTGATCGATTAACTAGACCTGGTAGTTTCTGGCCCAAATAAATTAATAGGCTCATTCTATTCATAAGCCAAGCCCATCAAAGGACCAGGACGAGAACGACACTACCAAAACTCAGCCCATAACCCAACACGCCACGCCGGAGCAAACGAAGCCCAGCCCATGTCCATCAACGACGACACGACACAATTCCCGTGCCGCTCACCCTCCTCCGTCCTCTGCTCCCATTTCAAACGCGCATCCCCTCACCTCGTCTACGGCTCTCTCCACCGCGATCCCCTCAAGCGGCTGCAGCTAAACCCTAAGCCACGGCCACCTCCCTACGCCGCGGGCGCTCCGCGATGTGCAGGTGTGCGGAGGCGATCGCGAGGACCGTGCTGGCCTTCCTCGACGCCGTCATCCTGGGCTGCCTCCGCTCATGCTTCGGCGCACGCCCCCGCCGGGGCTCCGGCCGCCAAGTAAGACGAACCCCTGGCCCTCCTCCCTCTCCATTCCTAAACTCTGATCTGGAGGTTGTCTCGATGTCATCATCGTTTTCATGCTCTCGCCTCTCGTGCAGGATACGCTCGTGCACAGGGATCGGGCCGCGGCCGCGGAGGTCATCTGGGATGACGAGGAAGGTACTGCGTCTATTTTGATTGTTTCCTCGGTTTCGGATGTGCGTAGGAACTTAGGATTCGACTATCAGGGCCCGGCGTTTTATGTATGTGTTTGTCGTTGTTGCATTGGGAAAGGTTTGGTAAGGGATGGACGAGTTCATGAGGAATTGGCTGACGGTGCTGGAATTGATGAGGAGCTTAGACGCGAGGTGCGCGTGCCAGATTAACTGCTGCTTTATTTCTTAATAAGACGTTGTGAAACACATTAACCTGTCAATTTTTACTCCAAGGATTAAGATGATTATGTTGATTCTCGTGGCACTCTTAACTCTAATCAGGCAAGTTACCTGAAGGTATGCGGCACTATTTCTGAAACCCCAGCTGAACTTCGCAATGAGGAGTCATATGAAAACAATTTGGAAAATACTAATGAGGTGGGATTGGGATTGCCCTTCTCAAAACCTGCTCCAGATTACTAGCTCGACTATCTGCTGCCCTTCATTTCTGGACTTGCAGTGTGATAAGAAGCCCACTTCTGGACCACCAGCAGATTGTAAATTGCTGTTTGAAGCTAATTCATCAAAAGGGTAAGAAGTGCTCTAATTTCCACAAGTTTCTGAGATTATTTTGCATTATCATGATATTACAAAATCAATGCCTCCTATGCCATGCAATCCCAGATGTGAGGAGCGTCACTCGCTCAGGTCTGAACTGAACACTGAAGATGCTGGCCATCATCATGGAGTTGAATTTGTTCCTCATTCAGCTTCCTCAGAAAAGAGACTGTTTCAAAACATCCAACACAAGCCTCTTGATTCTGGTGGTTCGCCCTTTCCAACTCCACTAGTTCTCAGGGATGATATTCAGACCCCTGGAACAGCCTATGCTTCACATAGAGGGACTTCTATATCTGGAAAGCGTGTGCGGACCCAGAAACAATTCATATACCCTGTCCTCAGATCCATTGAGAACAGACTTCGGCAGACAGAACTGACAGAAGGTTCTTCACCATTGGCATCATCTCTAAAAGGGAGAAACTTGGAAGCAGATTCTATCAAGGATCCAACCCAAATATCTTCAACTTTAGTGGTTAAATCAGGATTGTCTGAAACTCCATCATATTCTGCACCTGATGCTGATGCTTCAGACGAAGTAAAAGAAGCATCGTCTCCCGACGAGTTACTGGATGGCAAAGGACTACCAAAATCCAACTCGGATGAAAAGGATGCTGCATTGAGCCTGTCCCGCTGGCTGAAATCCTCCTCCACAGATGCTGAGAATCAAGTTGATGTTAAGTGTCCAGTAGGGGATCAATCGTATGACGACTGCACCTTTGTAACTGAGAAGCCTATCTTCATGGCATCTGATCTGAACTTGGATACCGATAATCCGACTCCTAGGTTACCCAAGGCATGGAATGGCAACGGTATTCCCAACACAACCACCAGATACAAAGAGGTACTTATTTGTCACTCTATCTAATGATTCGTTTTTTAACATGTGGTAATATGCGCACCACGCCATTTGAACAAAGGCTACTGAAGGTGTTATCTGATGAGGATCGTTGCCCTCCAAGGTCTTTTACTTTTGCTTTTTATTTTACTTACATTCATCAAAACCCTCCTTGTGTATCGGCATGCACCATGCTACTTATTCTCATGGTAAAATCATGACTGAATGCAGGAAAGTCGTCCGGGGGAAGTTGTTCCATCTCGAGGAGAAAGCTGAGTAGTGGGCAGAGTGATCATATGTAGCCCAACTGTAATGAGTCTGTCAGCGACCTATTATGAAACCAATCTCTAAAGCTGCGCCGTCAGACATGTCGCTGAACTAACGTTTATTGTCTGTTTTCTGTGAGGGTGATGCTGTGTACAAATGGCATAGTTTCTGTTGGGGTGTGAGGCTGTGTACAAATGGCATAGTTTCTGCTGGGTGTGAGGCTATGTATAAATGGTGGATAAAGTCTGTCTGCTATGAACATCAGCTGCTGAATGATAACAAAATATGAGTTATTGTCCCTGGCTGCCCTTTCTTGAGCTCTTGGTAATGCAGCATTGTTGACAGCTCACAAGCTGTAGCTCACTCTATGGTCGACACCAGCACTGACATGAGTGAAACGCCATCAGTTAAGTACTGCTGAGCAAGCTTAGATGCTTGACATGTCCTTTCTTGCTTTTCCTAGTTGCTATAAGCTCAATTCTCGAACTATTATTGAGTTCATTTCTTTCTGAAGTCAGTAGAGCAAAACGTGCAATAGTTGGTACACTGTTCAAACTAGGCACAGATTATATAACCGAGGAACTGCTAAATCTGAACCATTTTGAGCTTTACATATTTTTTCCTTCCCTGTATGCTGTATATTTGTTTTCTGTATATTTGAGTCTGAATACAGGCATCAAGCCTTTATGTGTTATTAAATACAGGCATGAAAAGAAAATTATTACATACATGGTATATCTGAAAATCTATATTTTCACGTATTGTAACAACAGTCACCCATCAGCCTCTTATATGCAGGTAAAAACTTCTGGGTAGGCATGTACAGAAGTCATTATGTAGAAGGATACACCTCTTGCCCCACTTTGAGCCATCTCTCTACAATGGCATCATCTTCTCCCTCCATGCCGTCTTCATAGTTCAACAGGACGCCAAACAAAATCTTTCCCTGTCCACGTGGAATTCCTTTAGTTATAAGATCAGAAAAGCAAAGATGAGCAAGACAGCGCACATGAACCCACCTGTTTTCGTCTATACGATGCTAAAGTTGCCAGCGGTTCCTTTGACTTGATCACCTGCCCTGAGCTCTGATATAGGTTGATCATCTGACAACGGTTGCATCCCCCATGGACTGCACATGGACCATTCCGGAAAATAAGACAAGTATTCAGCAATCAGCAAATAAGCAAAATATGCCTGAAAGCTAGTTTAGGAGCCACTAACCAAGTAGCTAACTCCTTTAGGGTTTTATTATTGGCAAAATTAACACTTGGGCATAATCATTTACCAAGACAGACAGCAAAATGTCTGAAAGGATATTTATTTTAATCTGTGAAGTGATACACTCCCTCTGATTCAAAATACTTGTTTTAGCATTCTCAATTTCTTTCCAAATACATGTCATCCTAGAACTTCACTGCACCTTTTCGCTCTTTTCTTCCTTTCTTGCCCTTGCTAATAAATGTTATCACTCTCGCAAATAAATGAAAAGATATTTCCAATTAAGCATAGTAAAGCTAGCTAGATCATTTGATCCATTTTCTTAAGCGCACAACTCTAAAACAAGTATTTTGAAGGAAGTACCAAATCAGTATGAATTCTACAGTGGTTCGAGAAAAAAGTATAAATTGTACAGACTACAACGGGGGATCATCAGGTTTGCATTGTGTCTCTGCAAATGTGTCCAGCAGTTAATTTTGCTTTAATATTTGATGCACACCTTGGTATGACAATGCAATGGCGCTTAACTAATGAAGCACACGATTGATCAAAGTTTCCTCTGACAATTGGATCCAAAGGGGAAAAGGCACTTACAGTGAAATAGGCATCCCCTATGTGAAGCCTTTTCCAGTTATCCTCATTGTATGGTGTGGACCCATAGACAACAATATTTGGACGAAATCTCATTGCATCAACCAACACCCCTTGCTTACCATTTCCATTACCTAGCACGTGTGTAACTACAAAGTGAGTTATCATGACAAGGTTATCCAAAAAAAAATTATTTATCTACTGATAGAGTCAAGCAATCTGGATATATTGGATGGTTCTGTAAGTAATCACAGGTCTTTTGGTGCTTTTGCAGTAAAACAGAGAGCACAAAAGAGGAACCATTTTTCTTTTTGATGGAAAAGGGGGAACAAAAACTGCGTACTTGAACTTAACCGGCTGTTGAGATCAGATATACTATCTTCAGAAACAAGAAGCAGCTGTCCTTCATTCACAAAACTAAGTTTGCTTTGAGTATCCCTACAGAGGCGATCTCTCCTGCCGTTAATTGTGCAGGAACGGTACTTGGAACTTGAGCATCTCACAAAGGTACAAGGACGTCCAATAGCTTCACTGAACCAGGAGTTTACCTTGTCACCATAACTTTGCACCTCATACCTGAAACAATTTGCCCAAACTTGTCATTATTATCACAATAAAGCTGAAGTTATCCATAAAATCAGACTAGGTAGAATATCACCAAACAAAATCAGCCTAAATAAACCAGATGCTAATTGGTGTAGGAACAAAGAACCCCGAAATCCACACCCACTACTTCTATTTATTGACTTCCTTTCAGCAAAAAATCAAATAGTACAACATGAGGAATAGGATAAAAAAAGAAGATGGCAAAACAGGTGAATCTGAAAACTGCTATTGGCATAGCACAGGTGAACATGTACACAATTATACAACCATACCTTTGACCATAAACATCTACTTCTGCACTCAGATGAGTCAGATTCTCTAGAAGAGAGATTTGCAATTTATCCTTGCATTTTGGCGACTCTAAGAAGAGTTTCCCAAGCTCCAAGTCAATCAATGTGCAGATAGAGCTCAATTCGGGAACCTGAATATATGAAAATCGCCTAAGATTAGAAGCAAGCCCTCAATACATATTTGATAAGTAATTTTGTGCAACTCTATTTATGAATCATTAAGGAACAACTTTTTCCCTGTTCATGTAAAATATATTATAAAGACGGCAGTTAAAATATATTAGAAAAGTAAACTTCTTTCGCAAACAACACCCTAACGAACATTTTCCTACTTTCCAAAACCACTTCGCACAAAATAGTGGATGGTTGCAAATCATGCATTCATTTGGCACTGGCAATTATGCTTCAATTCTTTTAGAACATAAAACAGACACCTAGATTTTACAAGTTTAGCACATAAAGGACAAAAAAAATTAATACAGTTACCTTCTTTTGCGTCAAAACTTCACCACCTGATCCTTGGAGAAGCCATTCTCTATCGTATTTTAAACCTAGGTAAAAAGAGCAAACATAATATATGGATCACAAATATAATGACACCGCAATACTGTAGCCAAAGCTACAAATGGAAGAAAAAAGCTGAACTGCAGGTCCCAAAGGCATACCACCAGTTGTCAGTGGCCAGCTCTGCACACTAAATCCTTGGCAAGATTTCACAGGATAGATAGTTATGGATTTTAAGCGAATATCTGAAATAGCTTGCTGGCACCAATCATCTGCAATTAAACCATACGAATCAGAATTTTTAAATGAATAAAAAAGATAAAAAAAAAGATATCACCGTTTTCATATTGTAAAGTAATTATGACATTACCTACTAAATTAAGAGTATCCATATTCACCATGTAGCCATTTTTCAATCCTACAGGTTTGGACACAAAAGATGACTGCAGGAACTTCAGAAATTCCTATTGGAAAATAAAGAAAGAGTTACGAGATGAGTGATAACAGGTTAGAGATGATCTTGCACATAATTGGCAAGTCAGAAGAATTGTAGTGGCCTTAAAAATAAATACAATGGAAAAAAATATCAGACCTCTGCATCTTCATATGTGGACATATAGCCAAATGATATCCTCACAGCACCAGTTGGTTTTCCATTTATTACGTCATTATCATCCCAACAAACATGCCCAGCCTGACATGTAGCAACACATTTGCTTTACTTAGATGCAAAAATGTAAGTTATAACAATATTATTGTTGTTGTACTGAGCAGATAAGGTTGCATTGTGTACCTCAAAATTGGAAACTAGATCTGAGTGCGACAAACCAACATACTTAGCACATGCACCAGGGTTACAGAAGCAGCCCGTCTGCAAAACAGTAGAGGAACTAATTCAGCCAAGATCACAGAAGCACTCAAAATAGTCTTAACTGGACAGAAACTTATCTCATATGATTGTTAGCTAGTGTGGGTCAGACATGCATAGATTTGCACAACTCAAATATATGATGCTTCATATGTATACACCCACCCCACAAATTGTCACAAAGGGTTTGCGCAACACATGTACACCATAGAGGAAGCTGAGCTAGCTTAGTTGGTCAAGGGTGTAGATGTATGCCCAGACCGCCCAGGTTCAAGTCCTAGTTGAGGCGAAATTGGAAGCCTATTTTCTTAACAAAATGTCACCTAGTTCCTCCTAGATTGGTCTCTTTTTTTTGTACACCATAGTATTTGCTCATGAATCTAGAAATGATGATGCTGACTGAAATGATTATTCTCTAAAAAAGGGCAGACCCAGTGCCGGAGGCTCCCACATGAGTGGGGTCTGGGGAAGAGATAAACCAAGACAAGCCTTTCCCCCGCAAAATCTGCGGAGAGTCTCTACCCCAATAAAAAAGTGCCAGTAAGAAAAGACATCGTAAGAAGTCCATAAGACATGCTAAAGGAGAAGCCCTTACACGCAAATGAATTCCTGACAATGAGGCAAGCTTCTCCACCTCACGATATCCAAACCAGGTGCCATCTTCTCTTTTCAAATTGAATGTGATTGTAGGACCCATTTTCAGATAATTCTCCTACAAAATAAGTCAATAGGAACAATAAATATGCCACATTAACAAATGTCAAGTGACAATTCCCTAGAGGTGAAAGAAAGCAAAGAAAAACTGAAGGCATGAAGTGCCTGGGTAATAGTACCTTAGAAGCTTGTCCATAGATTATGCAAACATTTTTCTCATTGCTATGCTTCAATTCCAGCATTTTATTTCTCACATAAGTAGCAAGAGACGCAGTATGCCTACAGGAGAACAACTCCATTGAGAAGTATATCATAGACAGAATATCAGGACCAAAAGCTATCTCTGATAGGTACCGTGCAATAGCCGAGATAGTTAGCATGTCAATTATCTTAAAGCCATATCGAAGAGAAGATATGCTCAAGAATGAGATTGTTCCATCCTCAAGAACTTGCTCGATGCCTTTTCTTTTCTGAACAAAGTCGATGTCAGCAATTGAAGCAGCTACCGTTCCTATGTCATAAGCATTCCAAAAGGTTACTAAAAACAAGAAACAAACAAACCAACCAACATTAAAAGCAGTGCATTACTAAGTTCTAACCTCCACTGAAGTATGTCTTGTTCAGTAAATTAGCAGCCTCTGCCATTGAATGAAAAATACGGAAGAAATCATTAGAGAGCTTGCCCCTTGCCATCATAATAAGAGAACATGATAACTGCTTGTTGCCTACCATTTTTTACAATTAAGGCACCAAGACCAGTTGGATAGCCGAATATCTGCAAGTTTGCCAAAAGATAACAGTTGGTTACATGTCTGGGACAAGGCTTTCGAAAACAAAATAGCTGCACATGGATTACCTTGTAAAATGAACAGACAACAAAGTCAGCAGGATACAGGGTTAAGTTTGGTGGTTCAGTTGTACATCCTTTTGCAGCATCTATCAGAACCATCCACTGGCCCCTGCAAATGATGCACTTAATAAGCATGTCAAAGCTACTGAGTCCAAGGGAAATGGGATGATGTCTGCTAGACAAATTCAGTTATTTGTCTAGTACAGCCTTATATGCATCAAATATTTTACCGCTGTTGTGATGAGAAATCCATAAATTTTCCTTCCTTGATGAGCTTGACCAGGCTGAGGTTGAACTTATGTCCTGAGAAATTGCACTCTGAAGGGAATGCAAATAGATTTAAATTGTTTCCTACATCACAAAGAGAGAATAATATGAATCACCCCAGAATGGCAATCGCTATTCAGTTAGATAATAAGAGAATAGGTGTTACAGCTGAAGAAACACATTATGTCTATAAGTTCCTTACCTGAAATAGCTGTCAGCCTCCCATTCTGATAATTGTGCAAAAGCAAATCGTCACCTCTTCTTTGGTTTGAGTGTTTTGAAACCTTAAACAACCTATCACTCTCATGATTCTTTGATGGATCAACAACCTCTTCAACATCAACTGCTGATACAGTAGCTCCTTTGCTCAGCGCATATCTATAAATACATTATTAAGGGGACACATAATCTACAGTATGCCCTACACCAATGTGCATTATGGCACAGTGTCAACTTGAATTTCTCAGCTTTCGAAATAGACTGCTAATGAAAGAACCCATTTTGAAAAGAAAAAAAATCAAAATGAGAGCTTTATAGAACCTACTGTGAAGGGAATAGAAAGGAAAAATAGCTGTTTTGCCATATATCTGAGGGCATCGGAATATAAAGATATGTAGACGCATTGCACCATTGGAGCATGTACTTGCATAATGATATATACATTAACCAGTCAGTAAGTAGAGTAGTAATGGTAGGATACTCTCTTATCCCAAGCACACTATTATGATTTTCCATTGTGTACATATAGCAACTGTCTCTACTCCATGGAAAACATTCACCAACAAGTTTCAGAGCTGCTGTTGCCCCTGATGTAAATATACATTTGTAGTCCCTTGGAGATGCATTGAAGTATTTTAGGACCTGTGAGAATAAAGTTTGTATCATAAGCAAGAAAAGGCTGGTTTCAACTTCTCTCGAGTGCACACAATTGTGTAAGATGTTAGCACCAATTTGCAGTTTCTTTGATCAGAACGAACATGAAAACTATATCCATACTCCTTTTCAACTTCAATTACATGTAATTAAGTATTTCTACTTTAGAACATATGTTGAAATAGACATGTAAATAGTTGTTGTGACTTGTGAGCATAAAATCAATAATGGATGCCTATCACCAGCAATGGCTTTCATTCAAAGAAACTGCTGCAGCGCTAGCTGATTTTTTAAAAAAAAGGGTTCCATCATTCAAAACATAAACATAAGAAACGGTAAGTCCAATTTTTTATAACATGCAGTACCTGATGCCGCACAGAAGTAACAATGTCGCTTGAAGCCATGCTTGAATCATTCTGACTATCTAAAAAGCGTGTCAAAGAACACAGCTGCAGTAATTTGGGCCTGTCCGGCTGCTAGTTTTCACAGCAGCAGTGGCTGCCGCAGCTGGCTATGCATGCCACAAAACACTGTAGCAACAATGAAAAACAGCCTTGTACATAAAACTCTTCTTCCTCTTAATTGAGCGGCAGAGCTCCTGCCTTTACTTTAAAAAAACAACGAAAAAGTGCAGCTGTATGGCTGCCTGAACAAGCAGCGAGCAGCATGGTCCACAAAAGGATGCAATTCTCACTTTTCAAGGAGTCAAACGATTTGAAGTTTGACCAAAGTTATATCAAAAAGTACTAACATTTATGATACAAGATAAGTAACATTTAATTAACTATGAAATATATTTTCGTAGTAAACCTAGTAGAGACATAAATGGCTAACACTATTCACTAAAAATTTGGTCAAAGTTAAGCTAGTTTGACTTGCACAAATCTCATAGTTGCATCTTTTGTAGACGGAGGGAGTAAATAGCTATCAAGGGGGGAAAACTCTTGTGAATAGAAGTCCCAAATTTAAGGATACGAGGATTCCCGTAGACATTAGACATAAGATCTCTAGCAACATCTGCCATCTGTGCCTCTGAGTACAGTGTCGCACCAGCATGGTCCAGGTAAACCATCCCTGCTCCTAAAAAAACAACACATCTTTAGAAGCTAGCAAGCTGCAAACTTCCATATATGTAAAACTTAACATTATCCCCTTTTAACGTTCTCAGTCACGTCCTCAAAATGCAAAGCTTAGATGCAAAATTGACATTGCTCCTCTCTTAGCCACAACAACATAGCTCAAAATTCCCAATAAAAGAGTGTATGAGAACGGCATAAACATTAAAAAGGTTTTATCTTTCATTCTTGCAAGAGTCAACAAATTCAGTTTGAAGTTTTCGCGTATGAATTGAGTAGGTCGCGAAATCACACCTTCCAGCCGCTTGAACTCGGCGGCCCGCAGCTCGTCGATGCCCCTGGGCGCGTCCGGGTAACCGTAGTCTCCACCGAACTTCTCCAAGAACTCCGCCTTGCTCTGGCCCATCTCTTACCCTTTCTCTCTCTCCCGCAGCTCCTCAAATCGCAATCTCAAGTTCTCAACCCGACCCAAACCGATCAGGTTACGCTCCAATAGAACTTAGAGGATCAATTATTGTTGCTGTCCGCCCTGGATTAAGTACTAGCGAAATTGGAGGTGACCACCAAATCGGGTTCTGAATTGGTCGGGATCGTTTTCAGTTTCTCCGCTCGTGCTGGACGATACGGCGTGGGGCAAGAAAGCCACAAGCGTGGAATCTCTCGATGGCTAGGGGCCAGCGAGCGGGAGGTGGTACTGTGGAAGCTCGAGGATGCGTAAGGGCTCACGCAAGATTTCATACCTCCACGGTCAATGGAGGCACGGCCATACGGAGCCTCCGCAAGCGTCAGCAGTGGCGTGGGGAAGAGACGGACACACTGTTGACCACCGCTTCTCCCCTCTGCATGGGCCGGTCTGGGCCAAACTCGTGGCAAGTGGCTATTAGGCCCGGGCCTAAGAACGACACGGCGATACGTTGTGCCATGGCTCATGAGCCATGGGAGTTTGATGTCAAGTAAACAGGGTGGAGTTATTGAAACTTTTTTCCTAAAATTATACTGCAAAATCCGGCAGATCCCCTTGCCTGGAAAGGGCTACTCTACGAATTCAGAGTAAAATTATAGAGAATGGTATCCAAACGTCCACGTCAAAATGCCCCTGGTAGTATCTTTTACAATGTACATACATGCAAACACGATAGAGCTAGTCAATCATTCCCCTGGAGAGATTCACCAAAATACTACATTGCAATGGCAAAACTACACCGCCGTGCAAAAGGAACATGAGAGTCATGGATCTGAAAGTTGTGCAGTTCCAGCTGTTGTTCCTTGAGGAAATTTTACAAGATTTAGGTCGACTGTACATAAGAGCGTAAAGTAGGTCATGGACTCAACTTAGGATATGCTACAGTGTTGGCCAACTAGTAAGTACTAAGACAGGGGCTGCACTGGCTGGAAAGAGCAGGAGCTACAGAAAGAATTAAGGATGCTTCAGAACCCTCCTAGAACAGCCAGTGCTTCTTCTTCGCCTTGCGGGTCAGGAGATCTGCAATGTGCAGAAAATGAACTCAGTTAGAATCTAGTCAGAAAAGGGGAAGTACAGAAACATACAAGTACATTTCGTTAAAAATCAATGATGAAACCTTTTTAAGTAAATTTAATTTGTAAATGCACATTGGCAGTTCACCAAGTCTGTGCAAAATACTTACCATCGATTCCATACAAGGAATTGTAGTGTACTTCACACCAGAAGCTTAACCAAAGCTCTGCAAAAATTCATACCAGCACTGGGATTAGATGGTAAATTGGTAATGATTCCTGCAGAACCTAAATATACTGTTGTGGTTTGCATATTGCAATAGTTGAATGCAGCATTATCTCAAGAGCAGAATAAATGCTGCCATGCTGGTGCCAAAGAAGTTTGATATGGAACGAAACATCTGATAACTGAGTAGCAGAGTATCCAAGCTCTTACCTTTTGTGGGAGTTAGATCCCTAGGAACTATCTCAATTAAGCAGGTGTCTTTAAATGATGTCAGCAAACAAATTTTGGCACCAAACTGTGAGAATTTGAGATACAAAAGGTGTTAGAAAATTTATAGTCTACAGACATTAGACGTACTGATGCTGCAGTGATAATATTGATCAGAACAAGAAATCTCCAGACTCCAGAGGGAACATAAAATGCAAATGAAAACCTGACTAATCAACCAAGGGATCATGTTTGAAGTTAAACTTTATAATTCAATGAATGATAACAGACAGAAAAATTTCCAGACATCTTTGACAAGGATTCCCAAACAAATTCACAACAGGCACTTAATATCCACCTTTTTTTAGTTTCATGACTTAAGAGTTGCATTCATAGGGACAAAGGATCCTCTCGGTTAAGGTATAATTAGAATTAGAAAAATAAAAAGGAAATTTATGTAGAAAAAAATGCATTTAAAAGGATTTACTCAAATCTTGAAACTGAAACTCTGAAAGTGCTATTTTACCCGATCTGCAGCCGCTTGTAAGGTCAGATGATCCCCCCATTCCCCAGATCTGCAGAAAAATGCATATATGAGTATATGAATAACCGAGCATCACTCTCTATAGTGAAAATGATAAGAAACTCAGATCTGTTAGCAAACCTTTTCATTTTCTTCAAGTACACCTTATATTCCATTGGTACATAACTTTCATATTGTTTTCTGAATTCCTTCAGCTGATAAACAGGGAATTCCAGTACAACTATGTATTTAATGTATTGTATATTTATTTGCCAAATACAGGCAGTGGACAACCAAAAAAAACTAACCTGTTTCATGACAGCTTTTCTCACATGCTTATGATAGTCAGGATTGTGAAATATCTGGTCAGCCAAAGCTCGGAACTGTAACAATATGTCATTTAGAAAAGAAAAGAGTTAAGGGTTCAGAATAAAGAAAGAAGTAATGAAGCCAAGTGTTGCTGAATGACTTAACAATTTTGAGCTTAGATAACACAGGCCAATTAACCCTGTTAGACGTATATGCATCGTACTTGTGTCTATCGTACTGGATCCGGTCTAGCTGATATGCATTCCTGTAGGCCGATCAATGCTTAATTGTGCATTGTAAACCGTACATTGTAATCCCCTTTCAGTATGAGATAACAGTGGCACTCTATATGGAAACTACATGGCAATTTTCAAGCAAGCTAGCAGAATCACATGCTAATTGGAAACGGCCCTGATGATGTGGCGTATAGTATTTTAAATAAATGGAATGTTAATTTACACTAAGTACTTGTCAACAAACCTGACAATTCCCATCCCCCTCTATCTGAAATTCAGCCAAACCATAAGTGCCCAACCTGTCAAAAGAAAGGTAACTGTAAGTGAAATTAACATAACTCTTTTTTGACCAAAATATGTAAATTTCCAATCTCCACAGGAGCATCTCCAACAGATTTCTTACATCACATCACCTAAAAGTCTATATAGGTGATCTATTATTAGTAGTGTAGCCTTTTCTTCTTCTCCCAACAGATTACCAATACCTTTAAATTGGATAGGGGAGAGTTGGTGGATCACCTACATTTGAGGGAGAGGGGTGGATTTTAAGTAACTACTTAAAACTTTTAGGTCTTGGGGGCAGGATAAGTACTCTGTTGGAGCAACCACAATCTCTTATATTGCAGATTTTTGGTATTGGGGATGAGATAAGTAATCTATTGGAGATGTTCTACAATCTAGTTTTTTGTGTTGTATTTATGTGTGAGATTGAGAAATGCTTTGTGTACCTTTCCAGCAATCGCTCATGGTCCAGTGTTGCATTATCAACATTGGGTATTTTTCCATTAACTCGGGGAGTATACTGCCAAAGAAGAGTGCACTAACTGATCAGAAAACTTAGCAGAAAACTTTTTACTACAAAATAAAGTAAACTATAGACTTACAGTATGATTGACTTTTAACAATGCATAATATATAGATCAATTACTTTGACTATCGAGATTGATTTAGCACACTTGCCAAAATTGATCACTATTGACTTCTTTCATGACATATTTTTTTCTCGAATGCACAGGAGAGCTGCATGTCATTATATTATATATAGAGAGAGTTGTGTATCTATTGCCAAACGATATGTTATATTGCTTTTCTTATATATTGTCATTAACAGTAAAACACTTTCAAGCATAAAACTAACAGTACCACTTCTGTATCACATCAGTTGCGGAGCCAGGATTTTTATGGAGCCTGGGCGAGACGCAACATAATACTTACACATAATATAGAGAATTGGACATAACATCGAATGTGCTTGAAAGATAGGATAGCAGAAAGTTTGTTCTGCAATTGTTGTGTGGCTCTACAGACTATACAGCTCCTCTGACCAATTAGCATTTTTTTATATATACCTCTGACCAATTAGCAAAGCAACCTACATGATCTTGATGTGCTGGCCTAATGCGTGTTCAGCAGGTGAGCCCGGGCACCGGCCCAGGGTGGCCAGGCCTTGGCTCCGCCACTGTATCACATAAAACTTTATATCATTTGACAATAGTTGGCTAAAATTTACTAGTTTGATCAGGGCACCTTAGCAAAAACAACAGAAAGGGTATTGAGTACTATGCTGACGAAAGTTATGTTCAGTTGGGAAACAATACAGATGCAGGTCCAAGACATCTATACATAAGTTCAAGAATGGAAATCAGAGGAAAACTGCATTAAGGATCAAACATCAAGTCGCTCTGGATTACCGGGATTGACCCCAAATGGGACAGGCGCTTCCCAAGACTATGTCCACTGCTGCTATTTGCTTGGGCAAGGAGGCTACCAATGGTGACGCTTCGGACAGGCGCTTCCTCCTCGCTCTCTTGAGTACTGCTGCTGATGCTTGAACTAGAGCTTTTACTTGCGCGGTCCTGCTGTCCAGACATGCTATCTCCAAATGAACATTGACAATATCTCAGACCAACAATAAGCTTGAGAGAAACCAAGTAGCAGCTTAGTTTAATAGTCAAGCAATATGCATTCACATGATGGCAGGAAGGAAAAAAAAAACTCAAAGCAACTAGAAGCAACTAACAAGCTTCTTTCCCAGCATTACACTCCAAAACACAACACTGTTTCGCTGATTGGAACTAGGGAGTATAATGCCTGATTGGATTCTTACTTCTTATCGTATTACTTCATGGGTTCCATGGAGAATGCTTGATGGGATTCTCTGGAGATTATATTCCAATTCCAACAAGAAGCGGACAATACAGCAGTACAGCAAAATGAGGATCCCCTGACATTAGCATGCATAATTCCTGTGTCCGATAGTTACACACATTTCCAGTTCCCGATGCCTCTAACACTTCGTTTTTACAGGATCGAATGAACATTCCAGGGATGTTTATCACGGTAATCGAACTGACCGACCAACCAATAATAATAATAAACAAGCAAGAAACGAAATGGATAACTAGAAATAAGCTATGTTTCACTCGTGCTAGCAATCCAGTATCCAAGAGCCCAAGTATTAATTCACCCAACAACCTCACTCTTCTAAATAACTAGTATTGCCAGAATTTAATTAACCAGTCGACAATCGGATCTTGGATTAATCGATACAAAAAGGGGGGAAAGATGTTCTTCTTTCTAGATGTCAGTTAGAGCTAAGAACCAACTATCACTCTATCAGGCGATCTTAACTCTTCAGTAGAAATCCTTCAGAGGGAAGTTCAAGGAGGGAGCTATTAATCGCGAAGAAATCTACCATGAACAGTAATCAGGTGAAGTAACCCAAGAAGCAGGACCTCAGTAGCCGGAGACACGCTACTTATGGAGCCGAATCGCGATCGCCAGAGAATCCAGCTGCGAATCGGATGAACTGATCGAACTGAGGAAGTGAGGAGGGGAACTTACTAGCTTGCCGGATGGAGGCCGTGGTCCGCGCGGCAAGCGGCGCTCGAGATGCGCAGGCAGCAGCTCACTCTCCGGTGGGGCGCCGGAACGAAGAAAGAGAAACGTCGCCTTTTTCTTTCTTTTTGCTGTCGGGCTCAATTCCTGCGAAAATGGTAGGCACCGCCCTTAAGTCAGACACATTTTCGGAAACACCCATGAGAGTTTGGATATGCCGATCTAGTAAAGTTCCCAACTCCTCCATGATTTAAAAAAAAGACTAGCAAAACATGCTCATAAGTTGCAACGGAAGAAAAAAAGACTACAAAACATTAATAAGAAATGAGGACGGGAGTGTTGCATATATATTTATATTTTCTATAAAATTAAAAGTTACAATTTATTTTATGATGACCAAGTTATCTATATATAATATAAGTTAATATTGACAACAATAAGATAATAATCACCATGTTCGTTTGGCTTATAAGCCGTACTTTTTCAGTTAATGAATAGTATTTTTTTCTCACAACAAATCAGTCAACAGTACTTTCTGTTATGGCTTATCAGCCAAGCGAACAAGACAAATATCTTATTAATTCTGTATCAAATTTAATAAGATATAAATTTAATAGTCTTTTCTTTTGTCGTGAGACAAAGAAATATTTACTCATAATTATCTTGAATTTTTTATTATAGTCGACAGGAGTTAGTTCGGTCATGTTAAGAATTGTTCTGTACGTGATTACGATCGAGACCTCTGTTGATTTATACGCATCAGCCCTCATGGAGGCTTGCACTAATATATACGTATAACTTGGTGATACATTTATTTATATTAGACTGGATAACAAACTACTCAAAATTTTAATTTATAGTTTGATTAGTTGAACTATCAAACCCAGGTTCTAATAAAATAAATTTATTATTAATCAAAACTACATTAAGAATTTAGTGGTGAAAATATTTTATATTAACGAATGATGAAGGAGATAATGTGTACGAACAAGAAAAAACAGAAAAAGACCCATTCAAATAACGGACACGAAGAAAGCAATCTGGAGAAGAAAAGAAAACACGGAAGAAACAAATGCTAAAAAAGAAAAGAGGGGGGGGAGAGAACGTTAGACATAGAACGGAAAGAAAAATAACCTGAAATAACGTGGACAAGAAAACAGACCGAGTGTTACTTGGTAGGCTGATAGAAAAATTATTTGATCGTAGAAATTTTGGGTCTTTAGTATTAGGTTTATGTTGACACAAAATGTGACGCACTGTGTCTTATACATAGCAAGCCGGAAAGCGTAGCTTTAATTATGTGCCCGGGTGCTTCGTGATCCGGAAACGTGCCAGTCAGTTTGACCTGAAAAAACTAACAAGAGATAAAACAGTTAAATGCCAAACCGGAACATGTCGGGTGAGACCAGACGAGTTCCATATATATCTGACCACGAAGCCACTTACAACGACATACTGACTATAGGAAGCTATCGCAACAAGTTTATAAACCATTCGCTAATCGTAAGATGAGCATACGTAAAGATCCGATTGCCGAATGCATGTGCATGGGAAGACATGTTTGAACAAGTGAAATTAATCATGAGTTAATGCATAACCAAGCTTAGCAATCCCGGTAGAGTTAGGGTCCATGAAGAAGGAGCGTGCAAATAAACACGATTAAACTAATCTAAAACACGCATCGCCGCATACGACACCTAGTTTCGTCAAAGCTTAAACGTAATTAACATGCATGAACCCACGACATGTGACAATCTAGATTAAAATAATTCAGCCATTACGAGCATGTATCTATTTGCAAAGGTAATCTGAAAGTAATGATCATTGAAGCACAAATAAAACCATAAGAAAGGGCGAACAATATCAATCTAGATTGGCGGAAGTGTGTTACAAATATATAAAATATTTAAAACATGCAACACAGGATAACTTAATGAATCTATTTAGATTTTGCCGTATCTAATAGAGCCGATAAGCATCTTGCCTTTACTAAGCATATTGAGCAAACTTTTGCGCTTGCACGGTATCTACTCATAAACAAAGCATAAGCAAAGACTTCTTGCTTGTCAAACAAAGATCCGCCCATACGATCATTGAAAACAAACAAGACTACTTGCATCACGTCTAAATCCACCGCATGATACTAAACATGATAACAAGGTTGTCGGAACTTACGGAGGTCGACGGATCGATGACTCCCCTCGAAGAACTCGACGACACGACAAAAGGACTCGAAAGTTAGCACGGGGCCGGTTGTATTGATTTGGTTGTGAAACCCCTTTACAATGGTCGAGGGTCAATATTTATACCCTAGACAGAACACGAGTCCTAAAAGATTACGATTTACAAAGAAACTCTTAAACAAACTTGGAAACTACGATTCCTTGCCCTAAACTCTCAGAGTCCTTTATTATTACAACTTTCATCTTTTTGATCGGCTTTGCCTGCCATCTTCTGCTTTCCCAAATGGAGTCACCACCTTCTAAAGTAACCAACCGCACAAGTATTTAGCCGATCGCTCGTTTTGTTTGCCGAATGTCCTTCTTCTTGTATGCGGGTCCACCTGTAATCTTCCGAAGTCGACCAAAATCCAGTGTTAACACATGCCCCCTCAATTTTGGGATAAAAGTTGTTTTATTCTGAAATTGACCACAAGCTCCTTCTCCCACCTAGATCAGCACCGTTCAACACCGCAGCCGCTGTCCAAAAATTCAAGCTTTCAGCGCAACCTCGGACCCACTTCGAATCTTCAATGGCGACCCAGGATGAAATTCCAGAGGTAAACTTCACTTATATTCGGCAATTTCCATTTGATCTTTTCATTCTTCTTTTGGCTCATTCCTCTTTGATTTCAATCACCCTTTACAGGAATACAAGAATCAGATTTTGATCCCTTATGCTGCCAACCCTGACTCCTATTTCCTCGGCCCAATGGGAAATCCTGACCCTTTTGAAATTATCGAGAAGGAAACCCAAAGAATCCCTTTCAAATCTGGGATCACCTTGCCAAACCGATGGTCAAACACGTTCAAGAATTGGCCATTTCCCCAATCATTTGGATGACGAAATTGGTACAGGAGAATCTTTGGAGAAAGCGGCAACCCTTCGGGAAAGTCAAGACATCGGTCTTTGTCTAGAATTATCCTTAGCGTAAAAACAGAAAGCGATTCCCTTTTGATAGCGACTTCCCATTTTGGTGCGACACCATTAATGCCTTCATCTTCGCCATGGTATGATGACCATCACTCTAGCCGAGCGTGTTCATGATGATCGGCTTGAACGTGTCACTACCAAGATACCCTCATAAGTACAAGAGCAAAAGTAATCAAAGAGCCGTCGACTCACGGATGTGGATGGGTCAAATACATCCAGAACTACATGAATGCATCGCATCATTTCGACAAAGAGTTGAAAGCCTTCATGAACATGTGGCTATGCTGATTCATCTTCGTGGAAAATCAATGAACCAACTCTGAATCATATGGTGATGGTGAAGATTTAGCTGCAGCACTCAGATCCCACTAGGCAAATATCTTTTGGGAATTACATTTATCATATGATGCATCAGATTACTCTTCAGATGCGCCAAGGTAGAGAAATCTCTTGTGTGAATGGTCCCTGGTGGCTAATTCAGATGTGGCTCCAGCTATACATGCATCAGATAACCTCTGTGAGCTTATTCAATCTAAGTTTTCCTTCAGTTAACTATGCTGAAGGCAACACAGCAAAGGTTAAGGCTTGTCAGACTTATGGGGAAGCAGTATCATCTATCAGCATTGACATAGACATTGGTTATTTCTTCAAGCTGTTTTTCAAATGATTCGGTAATGTGCTCTGGTTCCCTTACAGAGAAAATAAAAATTTGACTTTGCCCTGCAAGTTTAGCTATGAAATTGGTTGTTCAGGTCAAGAATCTACGGAGATCTTCAACTCCTTTATCAAACCTTGCGCTCTGCCAGCCGAATTTCATCATGGGAGGTTAATGTAGTCCACCTATGAATTCTACTATCCAAATATGGTGGCCAGACAATTA